AGATATCGATTAGCCACATGAGGTGTGTTAGTGGTCAAGTCAAAAAATACATGGATGTACGATTTCTGCAAACACTGGGGTGACTTTATGAAAGTTTTTGGATTGGCTCACACACCAACATGAAGATCCTTCTCTCTGGCTGCCTAAGACTTTAGCACAGTACTGTACATGTACAGAATGTTATGAGGCTCTTACTCTTCTCCAGCATGTCAGCAAGATCATTTTGCTTCATGGTCCTCAGGATGTACAGTGTGATCATCAGAGCTCCCTCTCTACCACAGGTCTTCTGCATCTGACCATCACTGCCCAGGTCATTGTCCTCCTCCAGCTGAGGCTCAGAGCATTCTGGGTAATTCTGATCTAGGTACCTCACAAACTTCTTCAGCTCATCCTTTAGGAACTTTATGGCTTTTTCCTCTAGTGACTAAAATAAACAGTCATGTTTAATTATTGCTACTTGCACCTTTTCTTTCATTTTTGAAACACAGTTTAAAATATATTTCCTTTAACATGATGAATTTCTTATTATTCAGCTCTATAAAATATAAGCTAATTCACATAACAGCTAAGAAAACATTTCAGCAACAAATACAGACCTTCAATATGGATGATAAACCCGATTTATCATGTAGATCTGAACTGGATTCTTCCATCTGGTCTCTGTGAATAAGGCAGGAAAGTTAATCTAATTCAATCCAATTGAAATTTATTTACGTAGTGCATTTTCACAATATTATATTGTCTCAAAGCGCTTTACATCGTCCCTGCCGAATGCCCCCAGAGAGCCAGTCAGAGGCAATAGTGGGTTTTTTTGAGGGGGGGGGCAACATGTGGCTCAGCAGAGTAAGCCTCTGGGCCTGTGATCAGAAGGTTGCTGGTTTATGCCCAGCCTCAGCAGAGTAAGCCTCTGGGCCTGTGATAAGAAGGTCGCCGGTTTATGCCCAGCCTCAGCAGAACAGTCACATGTCTTTGGGCCCTTGAGCAAAGCCCTTAACTCCCAGCTGAACAGGAAGCAGCATCAGACTCATGCTGGCAGAGACACATGCATCATGCCTGGTACCACTTTGCATCAGATGCTGAACAAGACCCTTTATCTTAATTGGCACTGGACATCTAAACTAAGGTTTACTTTACTCATAAAAATGATAAATTTACTAACAAAGTGAGTGCAAAAATGCTGCCTTAATCTGAGTAAATCCTACAGGGTGGTTCTGTGAAAGGTAGACTTAAGCTTAATTTATTTAAAACACTTAATTTCCAAAAAGTAAGCAGTAGATTCAGGCTCTCAGCAGACTTCACTTTATTGCTGCATAACGTTGCTGAGCTATAAAACTGATCCAATAATTGGCTTTTAATTATTTGCTGATTTTAATTCAAATGGCGATTTTTTTTTGCCAGACACTGTAGAAAACTGACGGAATACAGATAGAACTTCTGTCTAAATTCTCAAAGACAACTGCATTTGACAAGTGAAAAAATATGCATTTATTATAAAGTTTCTTTCCTCATATAGCTTGCATTTGTCTCTGTGCCATTTGACTGAGAGCTTGAGTGTTTTAAACAGTGTTTGTTTAAATGCACATTTACCTTTGATCTGTAGGAAAAGGTCCCTCACTGAAGGCGAGTGGATGAGCCATTGACCTGTCACTCTTCAGGGAAACA